TTAAAATAAATAAATATAATATAATATAAATACCCCTATTGTCATTAGTCAAGGGATTTGTTATGATAATTGGACTTACTATAATAAAATAATAATGATTGCTTAATTAGTTATTGTCTAGAACTGTTCTTTTAACTATAGTGTTATCAATATCCACATCAGTATAAAATTAATCTGAATTTGATTAAAAGTCAGGAATAATAATGATTGCTTAATTAGTTATTGTCTAGAACTGTTCTTTTAACTATAGTGTTATCGATATCCACATCAGTATAAGATTAATCTGAATTTGATTAAAAGTCAGGGGTAATATTTAATTTAGTCCTCGACTATAGTGATTTTATTCTATTTAGTTCTAAATGATTTTTTGTACCCAATTAATTTCTGGACTTTGATGATTTTACCCAATTTTTGTAACCAACTATACCGAACTTCTGGCCAGAAATCCATGATCTTTAACACTGTTGCAGGGCCGTTGTGGAAAAACACAATGGTGGGAGTGGGCGGAATGAGAATCAAAACATCGCCGAAAATAGGTCGAGCTTTTTGCCAACTTCCATGAATTTATTTTTGCCATTGTTGATATAAGTAAATTGCACGAAGAAGAGGGAATGAAATTATGAAATCTGACCAAAATTATCATGCTGACTTTGCATCTAACCGTCAACGAATGAAATTACTAACAGAGGATTTAATTGAGTAAAGTCATTAAAATTTGGGACTTAATTCAATACAAAAAGTCATTTAAGACTTAATTGAGTAAAACCACTACAATTAAAGACTAAATTGAGTATTAACTCTTAAAAGTCGTGTCAAAATAACAAGTTTAACTCTTATTCAAAAAAAAAAAGAAAAAGAACATTACTTAGAGATTTTAAACATAACATACCCTTAATAAGAGCGGAACATTCAACCTTTGTTAATTTTTATTTTTATTTTCAAATGATGTGGGATTGTGGGGAAACCAATCGTCACTATCCAATAATGTGTATTGGATTAATCTACAAACCATACAAAAGACAGTCTAAAATATTTATTCCGGGGAAAATATCCATATTGTTAGGTTCGATGATACAATGTGGTCCTTTTGTTCTGAATTCTTTTGCACTAACGAAAGCCAACCACATTGTATTCACAATGGGTTTGGAACTATCTTATCAAACAATTAATGCTTTCAAAATTTTTTGGAAATATCGTTTCGATCATTGGTATATAGCATTTATACACTATTAATGCATTACATAGTACTATGTTATTACGTACTACATTATTGAACAGTGACAAATCTTTTTTGAGAAAAAGTTTTTTATTTATTTTTTTTTTTTTTGGGTGATGTAGAGATATTTGGTACACTGATATTCGTGCATAGAGGTTGCACACAAACAATACATAAAAGATATCTCTAATACCTTTCAAGTCTCGTTAACCCAATTGTTATGCCATGGACCCGGGTTCACCTTGTAAAGTGGACCCAAGTCTAAAATAACACAGTTTTGCGCGTCTGGAATAACGGTGACGTTAGTTGCACTATTTTCTCTTTTTTTTTTGTTTTTTTTTTTTGAATATAGATTCATACATTGATACTGTTGATATAATTATGAATATTGAGTTCTGTAATTTTATATATTGAGATCTAAAATTGTGAATATAGAGGACATATTTTGAAGACAAACGGCAAAAAAGGAAGCAATTTTTTTATTTTTGAAATTCAGACGACATTGTTTTGAAGCAAAACGACGCCATTTTAGACCCAGGTGGTCCACAACATAATTTTTCCTCGTTAATCAACCAGACACAAAATAGGAAATAAGGAGCATTATTTTTAATGTGGTTAACCCGCCGCTCGCCTTGGCTAACCCGCATAACCTGCCAATCTGCCGGGACAAGCCCACAAAGTTTGAGAGTCATAAATTTTAGACCCTAATCCACCTCATTGCAAAATGGTTTAGAGCTGACCCACAAATTTTTTCGGCCTATTTTGACACCTCTACACAGCTACACACAGCGACGGGATGTTATGCTGTGCAACCGAATGCACCATGCGCATGGTGCATACGATGCAAAACGACGTCTTTTTGACTAAAAACGCGCGTCCCATTTAAAAAAAATAATAATAAAAATTCAAGTTCGATTCTCGACAATAGCATTATTGTGGATATATAGTTATGAATTTATGGATATATAGTTATGAATTTCTGGATATATAGTTATGAATTTATGGATATTTAGTTCATTCATTGTGGATATTTAGTTCATTCATTCACTGTGGATATATAGTTATGAATTTATGGATATATAGTTATGAATTTCTGGATATATAGTTATGAATTTATGGATATTTAGTTCATTCATTGTGGATATTTAGTTCAATCATTGTGAATATTTAGTTCATTCATTGTGGATTTTTACTTCATTCATTCACTATGGATATATAGTTGTGGATTTTTACTTCATTCATTCACTGTGGATATATAGTTATGAATTTATGAGTATATAGTTATGAATTTATGAATATATAAAAATGCTATTGCCGGGAATCGAACCTGATTTTTTCTTTAAGTGGAACGCGCATTTTTTTTTTAACTAAAATGACGTCGTTTTGGATCGAATGCACCATGTGCATGGTGCATTCGGTTGCACAGCATAATTTACGCACAGCGACGACGACCCGACAGCATGTAGGGCAAGCCCATTCTATCTTCTTCCATAATTGAGCTGGACCTTTCCCAGATTGAATTCATAATTTCATATACAAACAAGACGGCCCAAAAACATTATTTGTATACATACATCATATTCGCAAATTATATCGTGGACTAAGGTCCACTATAATCCAAAACAATGTCATTTTAGATTAAGTTATTAATGGTGTTAACAAGTGCATCATTTTAATACTCTCTCCATCTCATTTTACATGTCATATTTACTATTCATTGGTCAAATTAAATAATTATTTCTTAATTGCTTATTTTCTTTAGTAATTTTTAATTATTTTTAAATTTAATTTTTTGTGTTTAATAATATTTTTTATATAGTTTCTAAATATATAAATTTTATATATTAATACTAAACTTAATATTAAGAAAAATTGAATTAAAATAACTTCAGTCAAACCTCGTAAATTGAACCAGACAAACAAAATGGGATGGAAGGAGTAACATTTATCATGAACAATGTTCACAATATTTGTTCTGTATGTTCATAAACCTAAACCTTAATGTACATGAATACTAAACTACAAGTACATCATATTTATTTCCATTCACTCTATAGTAGGTTCATAATAACATATACATGTTTATAAAAACAAAGCCTAATATACATAAACGTCACATTACATGCTCATCATGTTTAATAATATTCATCATATACTATGTTCATAATATATGTCTTATGTGATCATAAATCTAAACTTAGCTTTAATGTATAGGAAAAAGTGTCATATATGTCACTGAATTTTTACACATTGTGCAATTGTACCATTGGACGAAAAAAGTATGCAATTAGATCATTAAAAACTCGAAAATTGTGTAAATAATATTTTAATAGTTTTGTGCAACGTGTCCAGAAGTAATAGTTAAACCGGATATGCTGTCCTTCTCAAGAGTCATGTGTGAAAAGATTTAAAAAAAAAAAAAAAAAAAAAAAAAAAAAAAAAGTAGGAGAATTTGGATAATTAGGGTAGAGACACCAAAATCAGGTAGGTTTGAAATATGGTTATGGACCTTGCAAACAAGGCGCTCAGCAATTTGAAGCTTAGTCCGCCACTTGTTTTGTGATCTGTGAAAACTGAAAAGGAGGCTGAGAGCTTGGAGTGGCAGAGTTGAGGCCACATCAAACATGAACCATGTTGATAAATACCATATTCGACGAAGGAGGGGGCAACCATGAATGTCCCCCTATTCACACTAGAAGAAGGTGGATGTAGCCACTTTGATCTTCAAAAAAAAAAAAAAATAATAATAATAATAATTAAAATAATTTTTTATATATAATTTGACATTATGATATCATATTTAAAAGAAACTTAGAAGTAATCTATAAAAAATGTTATTTGTACAATTTTTTAGTTTTTAATGGTTCAATTGCACACTTTTTTTGTTCGATGGTTCAAATCACTCTAATGCAATTCGCAATCGTAACTAGACATACTATACTCAGAAGAGATAAACAAGCTCAATTGTTATGGTTACTAGCTCAATGATTACAATTTAGTCACTAAGCTCGATTTTTACTGTTACTAGCTCGTCAATTGTGACCCGGGCAGCATTATGCACACGAATTCACATCACAATCTACATGTCTAACAATGCAATTGTAATTCTTCAATATAAGTTTGCTAATAGCTCGAATCAAATTACATTTGTATCACTTTTTAAAATAAAGTTAATATTTTAAGACTATTACTAATAATATGTGTTTTGTGGCTCTAGCCAATAAATCAGCATAAGTTAATATGCTCAAACCGAAAAAATCAATAAATATCTTTAGCAAGAGTCAAATTACGAACAATATCCTCCAAACTCTTAAGTATAAAAAGTAGGAAGAAAATCTTATTTCAATTACCGAAAAAATCTGAACTTTTAGAACGTTTCTACAAGTCGTGTATGTTAGTCTCGTGGGTCGACGGTTATACTCCATACTCTTCTTCTTCAACATAAAATTTTGACTTCATCTCTGCAACTCAACCTCTCCGGCGGAGCAAAGAACCACTCGCCACCGGCGGCTGTGCTTCTGTTCTTCCTTTCTAACAGTTTATGAATTAAGTTAAAAGTTTTTCACCTTAAGAAGAACCTTCCCCCGATCATAAACATTAAAAAAAGAAGTTAAATTCTTCCCTGGAACCAATGCATACACAGATTTTATTTTATACTGCTAAGTGCTAATTTATTGAGTAGTAATATGCTGTTTCTTTAATTTGTTTGATTTTTTTCATCAAGTAACTGTGAACAACCAACCTTACATGGTATGGAAAATTGGGCATTCATCCACACAAAGTATAGTAATCAAAAAAGGATTAGTTTGCTTTTAACAATCCTAAATATTCTTCGTAGTGGCAATGCAGACTCGCCTGCGTTCCTCTCAAAATGTTTCTCCATGACAAGTTACAAAAGAACCCTAAAAAAGTATATCCTGGAGGAGGAGGTTGGTTACAAACAAAAGCAAATTTCTACAATCAAAACTCTGAAACAGTCGGCAACAATATTAAAAATACAATTTGATCCACCTATGAGAAGAAGATACTTTCTTGATGAGTTTTAGGGTTTATACAAGGACTCACAGATTTAGTCAATCTTCACTGATGAGTAGATGCGCCTTGTGAACCAAAAGCATGCATAGAATCCAATTGTCCCCGTCAGCACAAAGAAAGCGTATGAAGCAATTAGCATGTACCCGAAGTAGAGGATACCAGAGACGGGCTTTGTGATCTCGAGCTTGGTGAAGAAGTAGAATGCTGCATAAAGGAAGAGGTAGACGGCTGAGGAACCTGAAGTGAGGTACGACCTCCACCACCAGAGGTAGTCCTCGCTGCACAGCTGGAAGTAGCAGAGAACGATGGTGATCTCCGCGCAGGTGATAATGAGGATGACAAACACGATGAAGAGGAAACCGAAGATGTAGTAGAACTGCTGCAGCCAGATGGATGTGAGGATGAAAAAGAGCTCGACAAATACTGCACCGAATGGGAGTATGCCCCCGATCAAGATGGAGAAAACTGGATTCATATACCAGGCCTGCTCTGGTATTTGTCTTGGAATTTTATTCGTTTTGACAGGATCCTCAATAGCTGGCTTCTTAAATCCTACATAACTACCAACAAAAACAAGTGGGACCGCGATGCCAAACCACAAGAACACCAATGCAAACATTGTTCCGAATGGCACTGCCCCTGATGATTTCTCACCCCAAATTAGAGCATTCAGCACAAAGAAAATGGCAAAGAATACTCCAGGAAACATGAAAGCCGTCTGAAGTGTGATTTTCTTCCATTCAGATCCCTTGAACATCTTGTAGAGACGGGCAGATGCATACCCAGCCAACACACCCATGAAAGCCCACACAAGAAGCATAGCTGTCATTAATCCTCCTCGATTTGAAGGAGACAAGAATCCTAGAAGAGCAAAAATCATAGTCACTAGTGTCATCCCAAAGAACTGAACACCCGTCCCAACATACACACACAGCAAATCTGAGTTTGTTGGAGGTCTGAAAACATCCCCATGGACCAGCTTCCATCCCGTTTCCTCTTGAGCTTCTTCCTGGGTCTCCAACTGGTTGTATTTGGAGATATCACGGTAGAGAGTTCGTAGCATGATCATAGCCACCATTCCCGAGAGGAAAAGAACAATCATCAAAGAATTTACAATTGAGAACCAGTGAATCTGATCATCAGTCATCAGAAGATAGGTGTCCCATCTTGATGCCCACTTGATTTCACTCTCCTGCAAATGGAGAAAAATGAGGTGGGGGGTATTAACCACCTTGCAACATAACACCACCAACTTACTCATCGCTCTCTGCATTATGTAATGACATCTGTTACCTCAAATTCGACATCATATGTGAAAATTATTTCCTTCTTATCATCAACTTCTTGGGGAGAATCAGAGCTGGTAACTGTGCGTTTGGCATGAGGATCACAGGTTGTTAGTCTTGTATTTTTGCCATTCCATTGATCATCATATTCATGTTTCACACTGAACAAAAAGAAACATAAGCCAGCAATTAAAACAATGTAGAAACTAACAAAAGAGAACAGTAAAACAGCAAACATTCGTTTGTATATCATATATATAAACACACATATAGCTGACCTGAAAGGTTTGACTTCAAATCCAACAATTCTTGCAGCATTAGTTTGTGCATCCTTGTGAAACTTGACAGTGAATGTCAAATGGTTGTGGATAAAATATTTCTCCTCCTTGCTCTGTGAAATGATAAAGCCAAAGAAATTAATTGAAGAAACAACCCCAATATTACAAATACCATTCACCAAAAGAAATTGAAATGGAACTTAGGTATACCCCGGCATATATTCCTTTAAGACCAACATGGAAACCATGTTGATAGATGATAGATTCCTGATCAGGCCTCTTCATGGGCATAACAAGAGGAAGATTATCCAAAATCCTGTTAAATTCAAATACTAAATCAGAGACTGTTGATATCAAATAGTTAACAAAACAGCTTCAAGAGAGCACTTAAAAGCGTTTGGTACATGTTCACCCGATATTCATCATCTATCTTCTCCTTAAATTCTTTGGCAGTTTTTGCATTAAGAGTAAGACGACATGCAATACTGCACATCTGTGGTTCCCTCATACGAAACTGCATAAAACACCCTCTGTTAGAACTAAGTTCCACAAATTAGAAGGCAAAAAAGGAATTAAAATTCTATCTGTGTATCCATCATCATCCAAGAAAGTAATCCACCTCATAAACAGAGTTCTCAATGCGATCACCACGAAGAACTTCACCAAGATTCTCTGCACTGTCTACAATGCGATCTGGCTTACAGTAAGGAAGGGAATAGTAGGAATAAGGAAGCTGAGTTCTGGTAGAGGTCAGTTTGTTAACTTTCACCTTGAGAGGATCACCCTGCCAAATGAAGGATAAAATTAACTTCTAAGACTCCAATGACGGAACGGAGGCAATTACTAGATTTATAAACAGACAAATTATAATTATATAATTTATAACTATGAAATCCAGTTTTCGCACTGTTCTCTACATAAAATATTCAGATGCTTAAAACAATGCTGGCCATGCAAAAAGATATGGCAAAAGAACCCATTGTCTGCAACACAAACTTTCATCAACTGGAGGGCGGCTTTCACACGGAAAATAGCCCAGAGAAGCATTATATTCATTACCAAGCATTAGTTCCAACATAAATCTGATAAAAATTGGACAGTTACTGTTCTTCCATCTTCCATCATTTTACAGCAACCAATTTTCATATTAACTTGAGAATTCTCAACAGAGGTTGTATACTTGGTTACATTCAACTCAGCAATGAACCAGAATTTATCGACTCATATACAACCATAATATTCTGATATCATAATTGAACAATGAGATTCATGTCAATACAGTTATGCACACTTCCAGAAAGGGTATGTGCATGCCTCCAGATAGAAATAAATGTTTATCTTAAGAGCTGTCTATGAATCTTTTATTGCAGAATAATAGATAGATTTCTCATATTCTAGGCATGTATTTCAGTATTTGTATGGCAACAAACAGAATCCAGATCATAAACACAAATAATTCAAATCCAGACTTGGAAATGATATCAACAAAAACTCAGGTCGTCAATGATCATCAGGCCACATCTAGAAAACTCGGAACATACCATCTAAACCAAGAAAATTACAATAAGCTAAGCCCCTAACCCTTCCCCTCTTTCCAAAACACAACAAGGCAAACTATAAATCCATCGGATTTTGTTAAAACAACAAGCCACTTCCTGCATAGATCTGATAGAAAGAATCCAACAACCACAAAACCTCAGCAACCAAGCACGAATCAACACACACACACAGACATGAACGACGAGCTAATGATTACAAAATACAAGTCAATAAGCTGAAATTAGGCCAACACAACCATAGTTTCTGTATCACAATCTATAAACACACTCAATTCATCCATCACTCCCTATGGACAACACACAATTTGAAAAAAAAATAAAATCGTAACATATTAGTGTAACAATTACCTTCTGGAAATCCTGAGGCGCGACACCGGGGAGGTAGAAAGAGCGAACCTCGGCGAAGAAAAGGAATACAAGGAAGCAACACGAGATCCATCGCGGCATCGCCGGAACCCTCGCGACCTCCATAGCTCTCCGATACCTATCTCTCCGTAACACGGCAGCTCAGGTGAGGTCAGGTCGGCTTCCCCGCAGCTACTACACTCCTCCGGCTCCGAGATCTAGATTTCTCGATCTCCCTCTCACCGCAGCCTTCTCTCTCTATACATACATATAACTGTGTAGTATTATGCATAGATATAAGTTCCAGACTGCGCGCGTTCGGACTTCATGACACGAGAAGAACGGACGAAAGTGGTGATTGCGATTTACGATACCAGAGAGGAAGAGAGAGAGAGAAATGATATGATGTGTGGTTTAGTCAGTGGAGTATTTGGTACGGACTTGATGACAGCCGTTGATGGGAGTAGAGTTCATGGGATAAAGGGTGGAGATTGAATCTTCGGGTTGACGTTGTGGGATGAAGGGTGAGTGACATACGAGTATTTATTGGTTGCCGTCGATGAATGTGTTCATCCTACGTATATACTACAAAAGATATAAATATATATAACATCTTATTACCATCCTTATATCTTCTCTTATCTCAAATAAATACTGCTTATTTGAATTATTGAACTAAGCCCGTGCGAGCACAATCCTTATATCATAGACTTAGGTTCATAGTGTACTGTGAACCCCGATGCATATGTACATGTAAACAAATACTCTATAACTTAATGATTGCTGACACATAATATGATAGCTAAATGTACAGAAACTATCCACTTCTGGTACATAATGTATCAACTATAGATACAGAATCTGAAGGTTACCTAATATGATAGCTACATTTGCAGACACTATCAACTGTAAGCATGGTTGCAAAAATTACACCTAAACGCTAGGCGGTGGCCGGCCGCCTAGAAATTCGGCTGAATCGTCGTTCTAGGCGACTTAGGCGGCCTAGGCGCCAACTAGGTCTCTGACTCTCCGTGGACTAGGCAGCTTAGGCGGCCTAGGCACCCAAAAAAAATATTTTAAATTTAAAAAAAAAAAAAAAAAAAGGCGTCTGAGAAACGCCTAGCGATTTTTGCAAGTTTGACTGTAAGTACAGAATTTGTCAACTATAGATACAGAATCTAAAGGTTATTTTTGGACTAGGGTCTACAATGCAAGGTAGATCTTGGTCCATGGTATAATTTAGTAATTTACCCATTGCAATAGTTATGTCATGGACTCAGATACACATTGCAAGGTGAACTCGGGTCAAAATACATAATTTATATACTGAATGTTCACAATTCAAATTATGAATATTTAGTATATAAAATTATGAACATTCAATATGTAAATTGTAAATATTCAGTATGTAAATTGTGAACATCCAGTATATAAAATTGTGAATATTCAATATGTAAATTGTGAATATTTAATATGTAAATTGTAAATTGTTAGATCCGGGTCCATAAAATAATTTGTCCTTCAATGAAAAGTTGGTCTTTATAACAAATGTGGCAATTTCATATTACTTACCGTAGTTATTCAATATTTTGAGATTACAATTTTAAATTAATTAAATTCAATATTAAAATTTAAGCAAATTGAATCTCTAAGCTATTGATAAGCTAGTAGCTAATTAGCTTTGCTTGGGAGATAATTGAGCTTAGGTAAGATAGATTTTCCACTCACATGGACGAACACAAGATGATCAAGCAATGTCTTTAATTGGTGAAAAGTCTTCCTCATGCGTACTTTGCTAATCCATGCCACTATCTTATTAACTTGCAAACAAATGAATAATAAACTTTATCAATGATGTGATTAGTTGAGAAATATTTTACAACCTCTTGGTATATAAAGAAATTATTAAATTTTTGGATTAGTAGTTCGAGCAAATACATTATTTTTAATCCTAAAAACTTCGGGTTCAGAGTCCAATTCCTTTTTTAGGTGTACTCAAGTATTTATAGTGGGAAATCATGACTAATCCCCCACATCTCATGGATGTGACAGCTAACCTGGAAATTTAAGGTTGCTCCATACCTAAAGCCAATGATCGAACCATTGACATTTGGTTAAGATGACTGAGTCATTTCTACACAACCACACCCCAGGTTATAACAATCTTACTTAAAAAATAAAAAAAGATGCCAAATCAGATCACTCAGCAGATAACAAATTGCAGGTGGAAGAATTGACAAATACCAAGAAATGTGCCCTACAAGAAGGGAAAGATTCACCTAACAACAATGGACATTATATTGGACATAAAAATAAAAATTCTGAGGCTCAACTTGATAGAATGATAGCTCAGATTGGCATAATGTTCCAAAAGGTGAAGAACTATAAAGAACATGGCAGCCTTGGAACCAAAAATAATATCATTTCGCACTATCCACATGAGCAAACAAAAAAATTTTAAAAACAAGGCATCCCCCGGGAAGAGAATGCTGGAATCGATAAACAACACGCAATGCACATCAGTGGTTTAAGAAAGACGAAGAGGGAAGGAGGAAGAACGTAACGTTTTAGTCTCAGTTCCCGCCTTCTTGGGCAGGTGTTTCGATCAATCTCACTGAACGGGGAAGCACAAACTCGGTAAATATTGGGTAGTGAGATGACGGGTAAAATCCATCTATGTTGTCGTTCACCACTTCACATGAGGCGGGTATAAGAGATCTACCTCTGAACAGTATCCAGTCTACGTGAAGATCTTGAGTTTGTCGATCCCAGCAAAGGCAAAGCGCTCTTAGAATCAGCTTGAAAAATTCGAGAGGCCCCTGTTTGTCACCTGTCATAAACAAAAAAAGAATGAGAGTACGAGACTGAGAGCTTATATGCTTCTCTCATATCTATAATCAATATGATCAGCACTTTGCCCCTTAATTAAGCCAGCCTGATGCAAACGGGAATTAGTCTGAGTATAGGCTTAAAAGTGTCTCTTATAGTTCGGGCCTAATTTCAGGACACCTCGTGGTCTAACAAAAAAAAAAAAAAATTACAATAATGAAACTCGAGAAGATGAATACCTTTGAATCCATGATAAGTGCGTATAAGGGACATGTTTTTCCTTACACGAGAATTGGGCCAAGCATCCCTCATGTCACCGACAACCCCATGCTCTCTGTACGATGAAAGCGCCAAAGAAGTCAGCATGTAGCACACAAAGAAAATGGCAAATCGTTTTTCCCTTGCTGAATTAGGAGATCATAGCCTCATGATTGCGATGAAAATACATGAGCATTTGATGATGACAAGATAACAATGATGGTTTCCAATGCATAACAGAAGTTTGTGCATAAACGAGTCCATGACAACGAAGATAAGTTAAACAAGCTTTTTATGGCATTATGTATGCAAGACGCCAAGACCGCAAGGTAAGAGACAAATGACTAATCTTGCCTCAAAAATGTTATGCAATATGTTCAACCAAGTGGATTTGATTTATTAAAAAAAAAAAAAAAGTTAATACCCAATTTAGTCATCGGCTATAATGCAAGTTTTTCTTGATTTAGTCCTAAACGTCTTTTTGTGCTTAATTGGGTCATCGACTTCGATGCTTTTTCCTAATTGAGTCATCTGTAACTGTCGCTCAGTAATTTCCCCTCCATTAATACCCATTTTAGTTTTCAGTTTTACCCAAATTAGTTCTCGACTATAATGGTTAATACCCAATTTAGTTCTCGACTATAGTGGTTTTTTTCGATTTAGTCCTTAATTCTAACAGTCAAGGACTCAATTAGGAAAAATCATCAAAGTTGAGGATCCAATTAAGCCAAAAAAATCGTTTAGGACTAAATCGAGAAAAACTACTATAGTCGAGTATTAAATTGGGTATTAACTCCCCCAAAAAAAAAAAAAAAAAAAAAAAAAAAAAAAAAAAAACCTTCATGTTACGAAAGTAAAGAGAGGATTTCTAAACATGCTGTTGTATACTGTCTTATAAAAAAGAGAATACAAAGCCCTATAAATACATGCTAGAAGACTACGAATAGGAAACAAGTTTTCATGTGCCTACCTACCTTAATCCCTAAGACTGCCTAATCTATAGAGATTCCATATATTAAATATATATTCCATAACACTTTAATAATAATGAAACGTGGGAAAAAGATTTATAATTTCAAGAAGATGATGCTTGAGAAGGTAGCTAGTAAACAACACTTTTGTATGGATTACAAATCGAGTTAAATGGTAAATAGGAAACTAGTAAAGAACCAAGATAAAAGTGCTAGCACTGTCATACCTCGATCTCCCAAGAAGAAAACGGCCTGTAGTTGATTCTTTCTGCGTGTTAAATCCTCCACAATATACAACAGACAAGCTAGGAGGTAAGGACGCAATGTGTTGCCATGTGAGCAAAGCACCTCGCCTTCTAGCACGTGCACTGAACTCGTCCATGTTTGTATTTACAATCTGAAATGAAAAACCCGGTGGTTCGACTCCTTTTAGCTGGAATGTGTACACAACTCGTCAAGGGAACGAATCTTGCATTGCGTTTCCAAGCAGCAAAAGCGATTATAGACTAAAAAAACGCATTGGAAAGCTTATAAAACAACGAAAGGATATCGCCCAAGTCGCAATGCACGGTACTGTGGACCCCCAAGACATGCTTCCAGGCACTGATGGTGACTCCGACAACCAAAATGTTCCACCTTCCAAAAGCTCCACCTTCATCCAGAACACGGGGAACAAAAATAGTTGGTATCAATTTTTATCGCTAAAATCCATTGTTGACAAATAGTTCATGTAGAAAATGTTTTTGCTCGCCAATGACCTTGTGGTCTAGACGTCTAGTGGCACCAAGCTGCTCTCCCATATAGGAGGTTATGGGTTCGAGCCTCATGGAGGCAGTATTGACTCTTTGTGCTTCAGTAGGTTGAGAAAGTAATTATGAACAGATATTGCATTGTAACAAAGTCAGTAGTACTCTCAAAAAAAAAAAAAAATTGTTCTAACGATTCTACCTTTTCCTTGTCATAAAAAATGGTGCAGTGCTGATCTGAAGGGTCATCGGCTCCTTTTCTTGAAATTCCAAATTGATCATAACCTAAATGGGATGACAAATAGGTCCAAATATCAGCTAAGGTTGCATATTATCTACCCTAAATGGAAAGAATGTCAATGGTCCGCAACAATGAAGAAATGAAGAGAAGATATTTCGACAATGGTCCACAACAAGCTTGAGTATATACACACACAGTTCAAGCTTTGATATCAGCAATCATATTTCGACATTTTAAACCTAATTTATCAGCAAAAGGATGTGTCTTTTTCTTAATCTGAAATCTATTAAAGAAAGAAAACAAATCGGATATATAACCAATTAGCCACCTTCCTATTCATCATCCCTTTTCCCTTCTCTTTGCCAGACTACAATCATCTCATCCCGCCATTTCCTAATAACAATTTCAAATGCCCGTCTTCTCAAATCATTCATGCTAGCTCCAAAACGGATATCCCATCATAGTCTTAAGCGAGTTGGAGGATAAAAGTATAAAACCCTATCCTCTATGCTTCCTCTTAGGTCATTTCTACGCAATTCCAATACACAAGAAGCTGTACTTGGAGGGTAATTTCATTAATCCTTCTAAGTCAGGCCAAGAATGGTTATTAGGCAACTAGAAACTAAGAAACTTGCAGAAAATTACCTGTCAAGCATTGTTGAAGATAGTCCAACTGTGACTTCACACCTAACACCAAAAAGTACTATGAAATTAAGCATCATCAATTCATCATACAATTTTTTAAAAAATAAAAAATAAAATAAAATAAAAAAATCTCTCCTTTTCATTCCAAGGAGCTGGCATTGATCAAACAAAAGTATAATAAATTGCAAAAACAACTAACCCACAATTATAAAGAAAATCCCAGATCAACCATTCCAGGAAAAAAGAAAGTAAAGAGCAAGATCCAAGCTACCTTGCTGGGTACAGAGAATCATAGGAGAATAGCTGGTGATAACACTGACACACAAATCTTTCCTCTTATCCCATGAATTGGGGCTGTCTTCTGGCTGATCTTCAAGAAGATTGAAGGTCATTAGCGTTAGGGAAACACTCATTTTTCAGCAAATCTCCTGGCAACCCAAATCTCTGAGTTACATGGTATTTGATTCTGGAAACATTGTGAGATTACCAAGGAAGAAAGATTGAATCTTTGAGCATCCTTTGCGAAAAGCAATGGTCCTTGATTGCGTGCGCAGGAGAATTTGTTGCAAATAGTGCTGCTATTAGACAAAGCACAGCTGGGGCAGTGGACGCAGTAAAGAACAGCGGAGAGGACGCTGTAGAATCAAATCATGTCTGAAACCGAGAAGAAAGGTTCTGGGCTCGCACGTGCCGCAACAAAATTTAGCCATTGCCCGTTCGAGAATGTGAATTTTTAGTCAAAATTTATGGCTTCATCTTTTCTTTTTATATTGTTCTTCTTATCTTTATTATTTGTTGGGAGAAAGATCCAACAAGATAGTTTGCACTTTTTTTTTTTTTTTTTGAATGGTTGCATTTTTTGTGTTTATTTTATTTCACAAAACAGAAAAACTTATTCCGTTATAAGAAAGTACGTTCAGGGTGAAGCTCACTTTGTGTAGCCAACGAAGGATCATATAAATGTTTTAGATTACATTAGTCAACAAATAATTATAAGAAAGTAATCAGTCTAAGGTATTCATAATTTACTTAATTTTAATCGGTAAAAAATCAGACAAAAGTGAACCAGGAACCAGCAAACGTCTACAACTAGTGTGACCTTAGTCAGCAAAAGACTTCAAGAAAGTAAATCAAATGCTGATAATAGTTATTACAAATTTGATTGTTATCAACACCGTCACTCTAGTGATTAACTACAATGATATATATACTCTACATTGATGTTTACACTTGAAGATCATCAGTTTGAATCTGCTGGATAGAGACAAATTATTGCGTGGACCATAACAAAATGTACATTTTTAATATATTAAAATTACATTATTCATGTACTAAATGTACATTATACAAAATTATATACTTTCAATACTCTAGTATACTTTTCCTGAATATAATGTACATTTTTAATATATTAAAAGTACATCATTTGTATAATGAATGTACATTATTTGATAACATGGTCTAGACAGCTACATGGACTATAATGATTGGTGGGTAGAAAGAGGTATCAAACTATCTTCATTTACAACTAGTGCATATGTAGAAGCCACATTAGAACAGCCAAAATGAAGATGTAAATATGCAACAATAAAAGGAACATGCCCAATTCCAATTCATATAACCCATAAAACCAGCTTGATAATGTCAATGTCAGAACTCTTGATTCATAACCCATAAAACCAGCTCAAAAAAACATTTTTGATCTTTTCCAAGGAACAAGAGCATTTTTATTCTTTAAACAAGGTTGTAAAAAACACTTCTTCCTGCCACAGCCCGCCACGTTTTCAGATCAGGCAATCACCAGTCTCGACGTTTTTAACTTCCTTGTCAGTGCAGAACCTGTTGTGTAATCTAAGACGAGTTTTTCTGCACCCATTCGACGAGAGTAGTAATGCCAAACCCTGTGGCGCTCTTCTTCTTGTCACTCCAAACTGGCCCGGCAATGTCAATATGCATCCACTGTACTTTCTCGTCAACAAACTGCAAATTAATGGTCGAAATCTCAGGGTTTTTGTTAACTCACTCAGGCAGGAATGCACGATGAATCTCTATAGTTGTATAGATCTTATAAGGCGGAGTGGTTTTTGTAACATTTTATAGCTAAGTGCGCACACAACGTTACTGGGGAAAATGAGGGCAACGTTTATTTATAGTACCTGTTTCAAGAAAAGAGCGGCAGTGATCGCGCCACCTTGGCGACCACCCGTGTTTACCATGTCAGCAACTCCAGATTTCATCGTCTCCCAGTAACTCTCCTCCATGGGCATCCTCCAAAGTTTTTCACCGCTCACATCCGCTGCTTCAAGTACCTCCTTCGCCAGGTCATCGCTAGGTGTGAAAACCCCTGGTTTTAATATATAAGAGACGGTTAAGAGTCCCACATTGATAAAATATGAGTTTATAAGGCTATGGGTTAGACTAGCTAATTGGTTGGATTCAATCTTTTAGTCTGGTTTGACCAGGTGCATTATAGCCCAATTGAGTGACTCTGACCCAATCTTAGTTTATAAGACGAAAATGCTCCAAAAGTATTTGCCACCATAACTACAAAATCTACAAAGGCGTACCAGCAACAGAGGGCCCGAGAGCAACTATACAGGCACCAGTCAGTGTAGCCAGATCAACTACCTGCAAGGATGGCCGAGAATGGTGGATTTTAGAGTATTATCTCACGAAGAATAGGCATATACTAACGGTAGGGGTTTAAATACCTTTTCTACACCCTGTTTGCAGGCATATACTAAAGCATCTGCAAGCGTAAGCCTTCCTTCAGCATCAGTGTTGTTAACCTAACAAAAGAACGAATAACAAAACCGAGGCAACCATATAATCAGATCGATACGAAATTGCAGAACAAAGATGGCATTCAAACACTCGAAACTCAATGACCGAAAGTTAGGGCCTAGTTATTGTAAACAACTTGAAACTTCGGCATTGACAACAGCAGTGCTGCATAAGTTGAAGAATATCACCTCGATTGTCTTTCCATTTGAAGCTGTGATAACGTCTCCAGGTCTCATGCCTGTCCCACTAATCATATTTTCACATGCAGCAATAATGAAATGTACCTGCCATATCCCAACAATTTTAGGGTACGAGACGAGAGCAATCCAAATGCCCGCAAATTTAGCAACTCGAAAAGAAAATATCCCCTTTGGAGGAGTGACGATAAGACTTACTTCAACTCCCGCGGGTTTTATTTGCGCAATAGCTTTTGCTGCACCCAAGACTGCTGCAGCACCGCCCATATCAACTTTCATGATCTCAATTGAGCAACCTGGTCCGGTCTTAATGTTGTAACCGCCACTGGAACGATAAAATTGATTTATTCAAGAACTAAACAAAAAAACTCGCAACAGATAGAAATGTAGTTGTTTTTTTGGTCCGAGGTGTCTTGAGCAGACCCTAACTGTAGGAGGCACCTTTAAGCCAGGCACCTTTAAGCCCATACCATACTCAGACTAATCCCCGTTCGCATCGGGCCGGCCCAGTTAAAGGGGACGGTCCAATTAAGGGGCAAAGTGCTGGCCAGATTGGTTTTTCCATATGAGACGGGGTTCGAACTCCAGACCTCTCTTAAGGGACAAGAGTGCATGGCCACTCACGCCAACCAAATTGGTTTCTTCACAAGCTTTAAGTACAAAGTTGTCTCTTCTTTTTTGATAAGTAAAGATTGGATTGCACCGTCAGTGAGGCAAAACCAAAGCATTTAAAACACGGATTACCTGTCAAAAGTCAATCCCTTTCCGACTAAAGCCAGCTTGGTTTTCACCGACCCACTCGTAGGTTTGTAGCACAAATGAATGAAATGAGGAGGATTGGCAGAAGCCGCAGCGACACCTAAATAAGATCCCATTTTCAATTCTTTGCACTGCTCAACATCCAAGATTGTTGCGGTAAGAACATCACTGTACAAAGAAGCAATATTTTTGGCCTCTTCGGCAAGTACCCCTGTAGCATAAGAATCCACATAAAACTAAAAGATCAGAAAACCAAGAAAATATGAGCAATATATAAAGTTATGGGCTAATCGAAAAGGACATTAAACAAGGTTCTGAAACTACTAACCAGGGGTAAGTACATTGGCAGGTGCATTTACAAGCTCTTTCCCAAATATCACACCTGAACAAACATCTTCTGCGTATTTCAGTTTCTTTTCAATCTCGGGTCCAGTTCCAAGACCAAGAATCTCAACAGATTTGAGAGTGGGAGTTTTTGACTCTGACTTAAACCTGTTATCTTCGAAAATCCCCAGCACAGTTCCTATGGCAATTCAAGATATTTTACCTAGTTTAATGTCTCAATTCAGAATGATATGATAAATTTTAGCTCAAAGTCTCAAACAAAGTTTCTCGAGGATACCGGTTGCTATTGCTGAGGCAGTACTGAGCTTTGATTCCGAAGAGAGGCCTTCGGCTGAAGCAAGTGCAACAGCAATACTACTTGCCTGAGCAGATTTAGCAGCTGCAGCAATAGTCTCACCGAGAGTACGATAAGCAGTGGTTGAAGAAACTGCTGATCCAAGCCCAACTAACCCAATCCTTTTAGAACCAAGACCAGGAAGTCTAAGAACAGTGGATTGCCCAGATTTCCCAGAAAAATCTTCCTCGGAGGAGGCTTCGGACAGCAAACCACCCAATTTTGAATCCAACTTTTGCAAGATCAAATTTTGGAACTTGGAATTTTCGTCTTTAACCATGTCCTTCTCTGTTACACCCACTGCAAGGATATCTCCTTTCCATTCAAGCAAATCAACCTCTTTTGCAGCAAATGATATCTTCCGTAGCCCAGAATAACAAAAGTTTTAGACTTCAATAAATATTCTCTCATAAAAAAACATACCAATCTTGAATTAAAACCACCAAACACAAATAGAACATATCACAATCCGAAAACGACCACATACTTTTTCCAACAATCTCAACCATTAAATCTTGATTGCTCGCTGACTTCAAGTGTAAAATTTTAAAGAAAAGCAAAATCTACTTAGATTGCTAAAACAATAAACCCATTGGAGAAAACATCAAATATAAGCAGATTTTTACTTCAAAAAATAAACAATCAAAGAAAAAAAATTGAAAAAAACGAATGAGTTGTTGGTATGGTTTAAGAGAAAGAAAGAAAGAACCTTGGGGCGTTCGATTTGATTGGGATGAGTGAGGCCAAGAGTGGCCCGAGCTATGGAGTGCGCCATACGCCTAGGTCTTCTGCAGCAGAGGGGCGAAACCGAGAAGGAAATAGCCCAGGCGGAGGTAGATCGGAATTTCAAGAAAATGGAAGAAGTAGAAGTGGAAGTAGATGTGGAAACGGCAGCGACCGCGATATTAGTAGCCAAAACTGAGGATCTCAAACTCAAAGCGGCCATTTTGAAGCGTGTACGACTCTGTATTTATACACTGCAACAAAGTGAAACGTGGGGGAGGGGTTTAGATGATGATGATGATGATGATGATGATGATGATGATGATGATGATGATGATGATGATGATGATGAATGATATCACGGGCGCACCGAAATGTATCCGGATTTAATTCAATATTTCCTTTTTTCTTAAAAAAAACCTAGAAATTTTTGTCCAGAATTATACTCTACCCGCTCAATTAAATTACGAATAAAAACAACATTCTTTCGGAACTTACTATTAGGACCTTGTATTCTAGTAACACTATAATTTCTTCTCGAGTTAATACCCAAAATAGTCCCTCGACTATGTCGTAATTACCAATTTGGTCCTCGACTATTATTCTTACCCAATTAAGTCCTCAACTATACAATTTTTACCGAGTTAATACCCAAAATGGTCCCTTGACTATGCCATAATTACCAATTTGATCCTCAACTACCATTCTTACCCAATTAAGTCCTCAACTATGTAACTTTTACTCAATTAAGTCATCAACTATACAATTCTTACCCAATTTAGTCCTCAACTATATAATTCTTACCCAATTTAGTCCTCTGTATTAATTTGACTGTTTGTTGACTGTCAAAAGTCGGGATAAAATTATAATTTTACAAGATTTCTCCTTCCTCTCCATTTAGCAGCGCCAAACCATGCAGCAATACACTCCGATCAGATTTCGATCGTCAAAAAATCGTTGGAAATCAAATTCATGGGCTATCCGATGCATAACCACTACTTCGATACTGACAGGTTTAGAACCCAACCGGAGCTTATTGCTACATGGTTTGGCGCTGCTAAATGAGGAGGAAGGAGAAAACTTGTAAAATTACAACTTTATTTCCACTTTTGACAGTCAACAAACAGTCAAATTGACAAAGGACTAAATTGGGTAAAAATTGTATAGTTGAGGACTTAATTGGGTAAGAATGATAGTCGAGGACCAAATTGGTAATTACGACATAGTCGAGGGACTATTTTGGGTATTAACTCATTTTTACCCAATTTAATCCTTTGTCAATTTGACTGTTTGTTGACTGTCAAAAATGGAAATAAAGTTGTAATTTTACAAGTTTTCTCCTTCCTCCTCATTTAGCAGCGTCAAACCATGTAGCAATAAGCTCCGGTTGGGTTCTAAACTTGTCAGTATCGAAGTAGTGGTTATACATCGGATAGCCCATGAATTTGATTTCCAACGATTTTTTGACGATCGAAATCTGATCGGAGTGTATTGCTGCATGGTTTGGCATTGCTAAATGGAGAGGAAGGAGAAATCTTGTAAAATTATAATTTTATCACGACTTTTGACAGTCAACAAACAGTCAAATTAATACAGAGGACTAAATTGGGTAAGAATTGTATAGTTGAAGACTAAATTGGGTAAGAATTGTATAGTTGAGGACTTAATTGAGTAAAAGTTACATAGTTGATGACTTAATTGGGTAAGAATGGTAATTGAGGACCAAATTGATAATTATAGCATAGTCGAGGGACCATTTTGAGTATTAACTCTTTCTTCTCCTTCTCCTTATGACTAGAACTCTTTGTATTTATTAAATACATCTCTTTCCCTAGTTTGTAAATTGGATTGTTAATCTTGTATACAATTTTATTTGTTTTTTATCTTTCAATTATAATAATATTTTTACTTTTTTAATCTTCAGACATTTAAAAATATCTTACTTTTTAATCCAAAAACGTATCGAAAGACAAATAGCTAGCTTGGACATTGTTAATTGGCATTCTTGGTTTGAAGTAGCGGTCAATTATGAATAACTTAAGTTAGTTTACCTCATTATAGTCATTTGTCGGCTATGATCACAAAATGGGTTTCACTCATGCACATTTCTGTGTAGCGATTACATGCATTCCTATAAATCAAAGTATAAAATGTTTTGGAGATGACTTCAATCGAATTTGTCGATAATTGACTTAATAACTATAAGGTTTCAAGTTTTACTCTCCATTGGTTTTATCTACTGACGTTATTTGTTTGAGCATATAATATATAAGTAATCTAAATTGGTTTAACTCCTTATGATCATTTGTCTCCTAAATCACAATTTGAATTTTTCACCTAAAGTGCACTTTCATATAGCGATTAGTGCATTTCCTATAAATCAAAGTATAACATGTTTTTAGAATAATTCTAATTGAGTTAATCGAATAGTTAACTTACCGTCACAATGTTAATAAATCAAAAGTGTATGTGCTTAGGATTTCTCATTTCCTCTTGTTAATCAAACCAACTTCATTTACAACTAGTGGACATGAAGAATCCACCTTAGAAGAACCAAAATTAATCTAAGAAGAGTGTTTGAGCACCCATTCCACCATAGTAGTGGTGCCAAACCCAGTTGCAATGTTCTTCTTGTAATCCCACGCTGGACCACCCATGTCAATATGCAACCATTCCACTTCCTCATCAACAAACTGCAAAACAATGGTCAAAAATCTCAAGTTTTTATTTCCAGCTACAATGTCAAAAGACAAATGCATAGGATCTGAACATGCTCTAGCTTCAAAACTGCAAGCACAACATTGTAGTTTCAAGAGCAACATCTATAGCTTCAGCTAAGTCGGTCAGGCTGTTGACTCAGTAACCACATGGTAAAATTCTGACTCTCAGCGGGAGTAGCCTATTGGCCTTCTTGGTTTGAACCAGTCAGCTATGGGCCTATGGGTAACCTAGGTTGGTTTCCTAATCAACTACCTTCTTGTGGTCCTTTGCCAGCTAAGATCACAATGTGAGATTTACCTAGTGCACATACAACCTCGGATAGCGGCTACAGGTTTCCCATGTCACCCCCGAGAGCAACATTTATAGCTTCAGCTAAGTTGGTCAGGTTGTTGACTTGATAACCACAAGGTACAAGACTGACTCTCAACGGGAGTAGCCTACCTTCACGGTTTGAACCAGTCAGCTATGGGTAACCTAGGTTGGTTTACTGATCAACTACCTCATTGTGGTCCTTTGCCAGCTAAGGTCACAAGGCGGGATTTACCTAGTGCACATACAACCTCGGATAATGGCTACAGGTTTCCCAGTCACCCCCGAGAGCAACATTTATAGTACCTGTTTCATGAAAAGAGATGCAGTAATTGCATCACCATCAAGAGAACCTGCATTTATCATGTCAGCAATACTGGATTTCATGGTCTCCCAGTAACTCTCCTCCAAGGGCATCCTCCAAAGCTTCTCACCACCCACATCTGCTGCTTCAAGCACCTCTTTCGCCAGATCTTCGCTAGGCGTAAAAATCCCTAGTTTTCCCCCCATTATCATATACATTTCGGTTAACGATTCAATAACTCCATAAATACATAATCTACAAAGGCATACCAGCAACAGATCGCCCAAGAGCAGTAATACAGGCACCAGTAAGTGTAGCCAGATCAACCATCTGCATGGTTAAACATGTTATTAACAGTTATGCTGCAATCTGTTACATACATATTTGTTGAGTTTGTCTCATATAGAGATTAGGAATATGAGTTTGTCTGGTTGCAGATAGATACCTTTTCTACTCCCAGTTTCGAGGCATATACTAAAGCATCTGCAAGTATAAGCCTCCCTTCAGCATCAGTGTCTGTAACCTATCAAAAGAACGGATCGATAACACCCAACACAACGATATAATCAGATCGAGATAGACAACGTAACACCAGTGCTGCATAAGTTACCTCGATTCTCTTCCCATTTGAAGCTGTGAGAATGTCTCCAGGCCTCATGCCTGTCCCGCTAATCATATTTTCGCACGCTGGAACAATGAAATGTACCTGCCATATTATCACAATAGTTTCGGGATACGAGGCAGAGGCAATCCGAATTTTCAAATTTAGTGAACCGAAACGAAGATATCTACACATGATAAGACTTACTTCCACTCCAGCAGGTTTTATTTGGGCGATAGCTTTCGCTGCACCAAAGACTACTGCAGCACCCGCCATATCTTTCTTCATGAGCTCGATCGAGGAATTTGCTCCAATCTTGAGGTTGTACCCGCCACTAGAACGATAAAAGGAATTTATTCAAGAACTAATAACATAGCAAGAAACAGAAATGTAGTTACTTTACTAAGATCCATCATTCTTCACAAGCTTTAAGTGCAAAGTTAGTGAGGCAAAACCAATTCAAAGCACTTAAATCGTCGATTACCTGTCAAAAGTAATTCCCTTTCCAAGTAAAGCTAGCTTCGTTTTGACCGATCCACTCGAAGGCTTATAACACAAATGAATGAAATAAGAAGGATTTGTAGCAGCTGCAGCAACGCCTAAAAAAGAACCCATTTTTAATTCTTTGCACTGCTCAACATCCAAGATTGTTGCAGTAAGAACATCACTGTACAATGAAGCAATATTTTTGGCCTCTTCGGCAAGTGCCCCTGCAGCATAACAAATTAAAAGATCAGAAAACGAAAACTAAAAGATCGTAAAACCAAGAAAAGATGAGCAATATATAAAGTTATGGTCCTGAAACTACTAACCAGGGGTTAGTACATTGGCAGGTGCATTTACAAGCTCTTTCACGAATATCACACCAGAACTAACAACTTCTGAGTATTTCAGTTTCTTTTCAATCTCGGGTCCAGTTCCAAGGCCAAGAATCTCGACAGATTTGAGAGTGGGAGTCTTTGGCTCTAGCTTAAACCTGTTATCTTCAAAAGTCCCCGACACAATTCCTACGACAATTCAAGATGTTTTACCTAGTTTAATGTTTTAATTCAGAATGATATATATGACAATAAAGTTTAAGCTACTCGGGAAAACAGGTACCGGTTGCCATTGCAGAGGCAGCACTGAGCTTCGATTCCACCGAGAGGCCTTCAGCCGAAGCAAGTGCAACAGCAACACTACTTGCCTGAGCAGATTTAGCAGCTGCAGCAATAGTCTCACCGAGAGTACGATAAGCAATGGTTGAAGAAACTACTGACCCGAGCCCAACTAACCCAATCCTTTTAAACCCAAGAGCAGGCAGTCTTAGGACAATGGATTGACCAGATTTCCCAGAAAAATCTTCCTCAGATGAGGCCTCAGACAGCAAACCACCCAATTTTGAGTCCAATTTTTGCAAGATCAAATTTTGGAACTTGGAATTTGGGTCTCTAGCCATGTCCTTCTCTGTCACACCTACTGCAAGTATGTCTCCTTTCCATTCCAGCAAATCGACCTCTCTTGCAGCAATCAATATCTTTCACAGAATCACAGCCCATAACAACAAAGTTTTGAACTTTAGTAAATATTTTCTCATAAAAGCCTCAAATTTACTATTTTTTGCATGAAAAAGCATCATTTTGAATGAAAATCCATGTAAGAAGGCATGCATATAGATGAAAACAAAGAATATAAGAAAAGAAAGGAAAAAGGAATGAGTTGTTAGCTAGCAGTATGGTTAAGAGAAAGTAAGAAATTAAAGAACCTTGGGACGTTGGATTTGATTGGGTTTAGTGAGGCCAAGAGTTGCTAGAGCTACGGAGTGAGCCATATATGAGCCAAAGCTGAGGATCTGAGAGCTGCCATTGTTAAGCTTCTGGAGGGGTCCATTTATAGAGTGCAAGCAAGAAGTGAGAAGTGGAAGACAGGATAGAGGGTGATGAAGTTGGAGAAGATACCTCTTGGTATCATTTTTGTTGAAAAACATGTGAGGAAATTAGACATTTTTGTCGAGAAACGTCGGAGCAAATCCAATAGGAGATTTTGAGAATCATAATTCATAGCATGTGTAAAACATGAACAAGGTTTGTATGTTGATATTTCCCTAGGATGCTTATCCCAAAAAATCTTTAATTTGTCCGGCACCGGTGAAGGGGCAAAATTATTCCGTTGCCGGGAATCGAACCCGGGTCTCTCGGGTGAGAGCCGAGTATCCTGACCAACTAGACTACAACGGAATTGTTATAAACTTCTGAGTTATTTATTTTATTATCTAAGTCTCATACTCGCATTAATAACTTTTATACATATTGGCGATTATTATCTTCTTTCCATTTGGTGTATGTATCTCAGTATCTGTAACTCGTGTGTCCATTTGTTTAAGTCTGTATTACTGTATATCCATATGCTAAAATATATGAAAATGATTAATTTTTAGGTCTGAATAATAGAATAACAATCTATCTAGTATCTACAATGAATTATGAAAATGATTAATATTTAGGTCTGAATAAGAGAATAACAATCTATCTAGTATCTACAATGAATTATCCTATGCTGAAAGTGAGAAAGGGTTAAGTAATTAAGCGAGAAATTTTAATCTAAGCTCTAGCACCGATAATTTTTCTTATGTATGAACAATAGATATAGAAGCCGAAATAGTCGCTCTATATTTCATGACTAATTTGGCAGTGGACAGTGGTTTATTTTATTTATTGGTTGTTGCAATGATCTTGTGATAAAATACTAATTTCAGTCTTCATTACTCGTAACCATGGTCATCATGGCTCTTGTCTATATAGCGAAACGGTATGTCATATTATTTTCTTATTGAAGTTTGTACTCTAGCTCACTACGAAACACTTGTCTCGGGACTGCTTTAGGCGTCTCTTCTGAAAGCGGGGGCAACAAATATGATCTGAGGCTTCCAACTAATGAAGCTCTTCTTACTCACGTAAGCGATTTGAAACAAGAAAAGGGAAATAGGAACGATTCATCGATATGCATTTGCAATGTGATTGACCATTGGTGTATTGGCCTTGTTCACAGATTAAAGACGGGTTTAATGAAGGAAATAATCTTATTCTGTCAGTCAGGGAGAAGAGCAGATTTGTGGACTGAAGGACATCGGGAAGAACTAATTATGAAGTTTCATTCCCCTTCCATTAGTGTTGTAAAAATCGCGAGGAAGGCCGGAATCGGCTTCCTCCGCGGCCGGGCGGTATAGGCGCCACCTAGACCGCCTAGTCTGCCCTCTTTTTTTTTTTTGGAAATAAGGTTCAAATTGGCCACTGAACGTAACCGGAAAATGCAATTAGGCCACTGAACGAAAAAAAAAAAAATGAAATTAGACCACTGAACACTCCAAATGTATGCAACTTCACATAATAGCATGTTACTATCAATTTTAACAGGTTACCTGCTTACGTGACAGTTGAGTTGGCATTTTTAATAATAAATTTTAAAAATTAAAAAAATTAAAAAAAAAAAAAGTCGGAACGAGGCTTGACTGAAATTATTTTTAATTCAAATTTTCAAAATATTAAATTTAGTATTAGTATAATACTCTCTGTGTACCATTTTATTTGTCATACTTACTATTTATTAGTCAAAACAACTCTTTCTTCTTTGTTTATTTTCTTTAGTATTTTTTACTTATTTTTAAATTTGATTTTTTTTTTTTGTGTTTAATAGTACTTTTAGTGTAGTTTCTAAATATATAAATTTTTGTTTCAGAAAACTATTTTTTGTTTTCTGTTTTCTGTTTTCTCATTTTTTAGTTTTCATTCTCAGTTTTCCATTCTCAGTTTTCTGTTTAGAAAACTTGTTTACTAACTGAAAACTGTTTTCTGTTTTTTGTTTTCTAATTTTTCAGTTTTCACCTAAAATTTAGTTTAGATAATATTAATAATTTTTGAGCTAATATTTAACTTAATTTTTTGGATATATTCATTTGAATGACATGTATATGAATATATAATTTTTACTTTGAATTCTAATATATGTGAGATTTTAATATCCGATATCTGGACTGAACATGTATTATGATGTAACATAATTAAAAATATTCGAATTAATAATCTATCGAGTTCAATCAAAATCTAAAGCATTATATAGAGTTTAATTCTTAATTTTGATAATGTAAATAATGTCTAACTTTAAAGTGTAAGCAAATAAATTATCTTTAAATAAGTAAAGTAAGTAGAAAAGATAGAAGATAGTGATAAGTATAAAATAAGATAATAATGAATGTAATCATAGTAATGTGGTTATAGTGACATATAACTAAATAGATGATAGATGATTCTGTTTTCCATTTCGAAAACAGTTTTAAGTGTGTTCTAGTTTTTCAAAAATTTTCAGAAATTATTTTCAGTTTTCAAAATGGAAACTGTGTTAGTAAACATGATTTCTGTTTTCTATTTTTCAGTTTCTGAAAATTCCCAGAAATTTCCAGTTAGTAAACAGCCCCATTTCCAGCAAAAGTTGGACCTACTTTTATTTCTATTTAGTAAGATCGATCAGAATAATCTAGTTTGCTTCATAAAGATGACTAGATGATTTTTCTAAGCAATAACTAATAGTCAAATGGAAAGTTAAAAAGCTTCAAATTATTAAGAAACAGAAGGAGTGAATATACAAGAGAAGCTACCACTTTATGCAAATGATGAGATAGTAACAAAGTTGAATCCTAAAATATATATTCTTCATGAAAGCATCCCATACCTAGCATGTATCAAAATTAAGACCAATTGCAAACAATACTCGTTAACTGAACTAAGCATATAAAATAGACGGAAAGAGTAATATTTATAATCAAATTCAAATATATGATAATAGAACTAAATGCATCCAAATTTATTTAATTTTTTTTAATTATTATTAAAAATTATTAAAAATGCTAACTCAGCTGCCATATAAGCAGGTTTTTCTTCTTCTTATATAACTCTTATGTATGTGAATACGAATCCATTTTTTTATTTCTCCGTAACCAATCTCTTCATTTACGATCAACCAGTTTTGGAGCCCTTTTTGAACGAAACATTTTCTATGAAAAAATAGAATGCTTTGTAAAAGTCTTTGCTAAGGATTTAAGGCAAACCTATGTTTGCTCAAGGATGCTAAAATGGGGTAACCTGCTATCAGGTAAATTGCATACATTTGGAGTGTTCATTGGCCTAAAAAATTGCACTTTTTTTTGTTCAGTGACCTGATTGCATTTTCAGGTTACGTTCAGTGGCCATTTGAACTTCTTTTTTTTTTTTTTTTTTTTTTTTTTTTTTTTTTTTTTTTTAGGGTTATTCGCCAAAGATAATCTGCGGTTAAGCATCAAATGACCAAAATACCCCATTTACTAGATATGAGTGTTGACTTGCTGAAGTTTGTACTAGTTGCAAAGTGTAGAAACTTTGGTAAGGCATAACTTTTGACTTGGTTATCTGTTTTGGACAAAAAAAATTTTGAAATCGCGTAATTTTTTTTAGATCTATCCAACGCAAATAGCCGTAGGCGGTTTGTACCTCCAATTTCTCAAAAAAATGCTTCTTTTACTCTTAATTTTAATTTTTTATGTACTTATAGAAGATGGTTTCAAGAATATTTTGAACAATTTTACAATCACTTACGTAAATAGTTTGCAAGAAAAAATTAAGGGAAACTTATGTTTTATTAGTGAATTTTACAAATTTTAGTTAATTTTTTTTTAAAAGAAAAAAAAAAACCGGCGCCTAGGGGCGCCTAACATATTTTAATTTGCAACATTGCTTCCCATCCCGACTTTGCTATAGTAAAACTTTTATAATTTGTAACATTGCTTCCCATCCCGTCTTTGCTATAGTAAAACTTTTATAATTCTGAGGGAAAAATGTTGTTCGCTAAATTTTAAATTGGCCTTTAAAGATTCAGCTGAGAAGGCTGGAAGTTTGTATGTTGGAATTAGACAAGTTCCGCTAATCCCTTGTAGGGTTTATCTTGTTATGGCAGCAGATTAAAAGATTATTGTAACTCTCCATAGTGTGTTAGATTGTGCTTGTCTTCCATTTTTGTGCCAGTACAGTTGAGTGCTGCTGCATGCATATTTCATTTTCCTTTTCTTTTTTGATACATCAAGTATCGTGCCAGACTAATCTTAAGCCCCTAGAGCATGTTGGAGAAAGTAAATTGCAAGTCGTTTCATCAATCTTCAGGTTTTCACCTCTGTTTGTACACTCTGTGCATACAATGGAATTTTCATCTCCTCTTTGGTCTAGGTCTCTCAATAACGAGTCTCAGGTTCTCGGTGGGATTCAAATCCCTACTCTTGCTAGAGAAAAATTTTAAGGTAATCGGTTGAACTAACTAAGCTAGTCATATGAAGAAAAATGTTGCATAAAGTTGGAGGGTATTAGCCAATGCAGTTTTTTTTTATTTTTTTATTTTTTTATTTTTTATTTTTTATTTTTTTTTTATACATACTTTAGGAATTAATTTCGGAAACCTCTTATAAAGGTCTAGGATTCGATCCTTGACACCTTAAATCTTCAGGCCAGCTGTCATATCGAAAAGAGGTGTCTATAATCCAGCTAGGGAATTACCGAATTAGTCACTGTATCCGACGACGAAAATTCTGGGTATACTAAAATAAAAAAGAGACTACATTTGCTACACTCGATTCGAAAAGTATCCAAATTCATTTACAACTAGTGCACATGAAGAAGCTACATTGGAACAGCCAAAATGAATTACATGTAAATCTAAGAAGAGTGTTTTAGCACCCACTCCACCATAGTACTAATGCCAAACCCTGTTGCAACTTGCTTCTTTTCATCAAACACTGGACCTGCAATGTCAATATGCAACCATTCTACCTCCTCATCAACAAACTGCAAAAAACAATGGTCAAAATCTTAGGTTGTTTTTTTTGTTCCTGCTACAATATCAAAGAAAGATGCATAGGATCTGATCATGCTCTAGCTTCAAAAGTGCAGACCCAACAAAATACTATGGAAAGAGAACCAGTTTCAAACAGGTTTGTGGTCATTTGTAGTACCTGTTTCAAGAAAAGAGCTGCAGTGATTGCACCACCATCTCTAGGACCCGTGTTCACCATGTCAGCAATCCCGGATTTCATATTCTCCCAGTAGCTCTCCTCCATGGGCAACCTCCAAAGCTTTTCACCCGCGACTTCTGCTGCTTCAAGCACCTCCCTCGCCAGCTTTTCGCTAGGCGTGAAAACCCCTAGTTTTTAATCAAGATTTTAAGTAGAGAAGAAGAAAAGCCATTTCATCGTGTTCCTATATACAACATGGGATTCTGTAACTCCATAAACACAAAATCGACAAAGGCATACCGGCAACAGAAGGGCCAAGAGCAGTTATACAGGCACCAGTCAGTGTAGCCAGATCAACTATCTGCATCATGCAAAAGAAAACACTGCAAAGATCTGCAAAATGTGATATATATGGACTAATGGTTGCATTTTTATACCTTTTCTACACCCAGTTTGCAGGCATATATTAAAGTATCTGCAAGTGCAAGCCTTCCTTCAGCATCAGTGTTGTTAACCTATCAAAAGAATGAATGGCACCATACAATCACATCAATATGAAATTGCAGAACAAAGAGTGCAGAACCATAAGTTAATTACCTCAATTCTCTTCCCATTTGAAGCTGTGATAATGTCTCCAGGTCTCATGCCTGTCCCACTAATCATATTTTCACATGCAGCGGTAAGGAAATGTACCTGCCATATCACAACAATTTCACGATATGAGACAGAATCAATTTAGCAACTTAGAAAGAAAATGTTGAGCTATGGCTTGGAGAGTTGAGTCCAGCATCCTGCCATTGAAACGTGACACTGACTGCTATACAACTAACTATAGGTTTTGGCGTAATGGTAAGCGTTTGATTCTGAAAGAAAACATCGATTTGGGGCAGTGGCAATATGACTTACTTCCACTCCAGCAGGCTTTATTTGGCCCATAGCTTTTGCTGCACCCAACACTACTGCAGCACCACTCATGTCATTTTTCATGATCTCAATCCTGGAATTTGCCCCGGCCTTGATGTTGTATCCACCACTAGAACAACGATAAAAGGAATCAATTCAAGAACTAATAACATAGCAAGAAACATAAATGAAGTTACTTTACTTAAAACATAGATTACCTGTCAAAAGTAATCCCCTTTCCAACCAAAGCCAGCTTGGTTTTGACCGATCCACTCGAAGGCTTATAGCACAAATGAATGAAATAAGAAGGATTTGTAGCAGCTGCAGCAACACCTAAAAAAGATCCCATTTTCAATTCTTTGCACTGCTCAACATCCAAGATTGTTGCAGTAAGAACATCACTGTACAAAGAAGCAATATTTTTGGCCTCTTCGGCAAGTGCCCCTGCAGCATAAGAAATTAAGAAATTAAGAATCCACATATACAGATGAGAAAAAATTCACCTAGAAAACGAAAACTAAAACTAAAAGATCAGAAAACCAAGAAAAGATGAGCAATATATGAAGTTATGGTCCTGAAACTACTAACCAGGGGTTAATACATTGGCAGGTGCATTAACAAGCTCTTTCACAAATATCACACCAGAACTAACAACTTCTGAGTATTTCAGTTTCTTTTCAATCTCGGGTCCAGTTCCAAGGCCAAGAATCTCGACAGATTTGAGAGTGGGAGTCTTTGGCTCTAGCTTAAACCTGTTATCCTCAAAAGTCCCCACCACAATTCCTATGACAATTCAAGATGTTTAATGTCTTAATTCAGAATGATTTATATATGACAATAAAGATTAAGCTACTCGGGAAAACAGGTACCGGTTGCCATTGCAGAGGCAGCACTGAGCTTCGATTCCACGGAGAGGCCTTCAACCGAAGCAAGTGCAACAGCAACACTACTTGCCTGAGCAGATTTAGCAGCTGCAGCAATAGTCTCACCGAGAGAACGATAAGCAATGGTTGAAGAAACTGATGATGAGCCAAGCCCCACTAATCCAATCCTTTTAGAACCAAGACCAGGCAGTCTAAGGACAATGGATTGACCAGATTTTCCAGAAAAATCTTCCTCAGATGAGGCTTTAGACAGCATGCCACCCAAATTTGAATCCAACTTTTGCAAGATCAAATTTTGGAACTTGGAATTTGGGTCTCTAGCCATGTCCTTCTCTGTCACACCTACTGCAAGTATGTCTCCTTTCCATTCCACCAAATCAACCTCTCTTGCAGCAAACAATATCTTTCACAGCCCATAACAACAAAGTTTTTTACTTTAGTAAATATTTTCTCAAAAAAGCCTCAAAATTACTATCTTTTGCATGAAAAGTATCATTTTGAATGAAAACCCATGTAAGAACGCATGCATATAGATGAAAACAAACAATATAAGGAAAGAAAGAAAAAGTAATGAGTTGTTAGTATGGTTAAGACTTAAGAGAAAGAAAGAACCTTGGGACGTTGGATTTGATTGGGTTTAGTGAGGCCAAGAGTTGCTAAAGCTACGGAGTGAGCCATATATGAGGATCTGAGAGCTGCCATTGTTAAGCTTCTGCTGGTGTCCATTTATAGAGTGCAAGAACTGAGAAGTGGAAGACATGATAGAGGGTGATGAAGTTGGAGATACCTCTTGCTATCATTTTTGTTGAGAAACATGTGAATTGTGAGGGAATATAATCTGACATTTTTTGTCGAGAAACGTCGGAGCATATCCAATAGGAGATTTCGAGCATCATATATAGCATGTGTAAAACACTAAACATGAACAAGGCTTGTTGATTGATATTTTCCAGGTTGCGTATCCCAAGAAATCTTTAATCTGTCCGGCACCGGTGAAGGAGCCAAAATTATTCAATTGCCGGGAATCAAACCCAGGTTTCTCGGGTAAGAGCTAACCGACCAAACTACAACGTATTTGTTTATGGGTTTTTGAGTTTCCTTTTTAGCCACAAATATTTCTCTTTTGTTAAACATATAGTTCTCTAAGTGCTTGCTAGGAAAACTATTTTATATAGGGACATAGGGTGCATTAGTCGAGAGGTCACAAATTATAGACTGGATACCAAGATGACCATGCATGGATCGGTCACTGCCAGACCATCTTTATAATCTCTACTAGACCAAAAATTAATACTAACCTAGTTTATTTCCATATTCATGGTATATATATATATATATATATATATATATATATATATATACGGTCACGCAATATAAAAGTACACTTAACCATAATTTTGCTTTCATAATATAGAACTTTTACAATCGTTATACCCTACACCACGGTGCGCGTAGTATTGTGCGTCGCACGCCTCCCAAAACGACGTCGTTTTGGGGTTGTTTTGGGAGACGCGGTAGGAAGTTGTTGTGATTATGTGTATTTGTTCACACAATTATGTGTATTTGTTCATACAGTTATGTACATTTTTATACAATTATGTACATTCTTTTTATACAATTATGTACATCCGAATCAGAAAATTTGTGTGTATTATGTTAAGAGTTGATGTGTATTATGTTAAAAGTTTATGTTTATTATGTATTATGTTAGATTATGTGTATTATCTTTTAAAAAGAGTATGTATATTTTGTTATATAATTATGTACATTCATGTATACAATTATGTGTATTCTAGTATAACATTATGTACATTTTTGAACAGCGGGTTTTTTTTTAAAGAAAAAATTACTGCCATTCACTGGGGTGGGAATTTTTTTTAAAAAAAAAAAAAAATTAAAACGACGTCGTTTTGAATCTGGGCGCACAGTGCAACGCGCGCCGTGATGTAGGATATAAATTGCCGAACTTTTATGCAGCAGCTTCCATCTTCTTCTTCGCAAATTATACTGTGGACCGCGGTCCAGAATACATTATGGTTCAGACATTAAAACGGTGTTGTTTCTTTTAATGAAAAGAAACGGCACCTATTACACGCCGTTCCGCGCCGTCGGCAAAATGTAACTTTGATTGTATAACATATTCACTTTTATTTTGTATATATTGCAGTTTCATTTCGTTATAACTACAGTTTCATTCGATATTATACACTTAAATACATGATTGCAGTAGGCCTTAGGTACTAGGCGGGCGCCAAAAAAATAGTGGCAGACTTGCAGTGACAATTTTAATGAGATTGTTTTCAACATTCAATCAAATAACACATCCAAATCAAATGAAATAATGATAATTTAAAAATCATAACATCAAAACAATATTAAAAAATAAAAATACTCAAATACTTCAGTGATCTAAAGATTCAAAGTATTAAACTAATATACGGACGGCTGGACTAGACGAAATCGGACGAAATCGACCGATTCGGCAGAGTTGGCCGACTAGCCATTTTGACCGATTTCACCGCCTAGCCTGCCGTGCCCGGCCGATTTTTGGGTGCCTAATAGTGAAAGGCGCCCCTAGGCCGATTTTTACAACAGTGCTCAAATATGTGAAACTGTTATTCAGTTTCATTTTATATACACTATAGTTCCATTACAACACAACGTCACAACTACATTATCATTTCAATATAACTACAGTTTCATTGCACAATACACTCAAATATGTGAAATGTTATTCAGTTTCATTTTATATACACTGCAGTTTCATTTCAACACAACTACAATATCATTTTGATATAACTACAGTTTCGCTATACAATATACACTCAAATATGTGAAATAGTTATTCAGTTTCATTTTATATATACTGCAGTTTCATTTCAACACAACTGCAGTTTCATTTGATAATATAAAAACAATATATGAGACAATTTCAGTTTGGATATACTGTAGTTTCATTTGATAATTAACACACCAAAAACCCGCACTCCGTTAAGCTGTAACGACGGGTGTTTCTTCACTTAACGAAACGACACCGTATTAGGACCGTGTTGGTGGAAAAAAATAGCTTAAAATGACATAAAATGGCATATAAAGTGGCTATTTTGTGGTACAATTATCAGTGGGGTCTACTTCCGATTTGGGTCGGGTCAAAGTGGATTCGGATTCTTCGTAGTGAGACGAAGAGATCGATATATTGTACGCTCAAAACGGATAATTGGCTTGATTCAAGCCTGGGCACGAATGTCGTCCGGAAATTGGCTGGCCTTGCGGGCATAAGTTATGCCAAACTTCGGGTAGGGGTGTAAATGAGCCGAGCGGCCAGATCGAGCTCGAGCCGAGCCTAGAATATCTAGGCTCGTGGCTCGTTATATATATATATAATAATGATATAATATAATATAATAATAATATATAAAAATAACAATTAGAAATTAGAAGTTTAAACTCAAAATCCCTAAAAGATTTCTATTATTTATGTATGGATAAAACAAAGTAGTTTGAATTTTAAACCAAAAGTATTAAATATGTCAAAATTCGAGCTCGAACTCGAGCTCAAGATCGAGCTCGAGTTCGAACTCGAACAATCGAGCTGCTCGAGCCGAGCTCGAGCAGCTCGAAAATTACCGAGCTCGAGCTCGAACTCGAGCCGAGCCTCCATTAACGAGCACGAGCTCAAGCCTACCTAGGCTCGAGCTCGGCTCGGCTCGTTTACACCCCTAACTTCGGGTATCATTTTCCAACCGCTCACTTGGTTCGGCCGAAACCGAGAGCACCACTCTCGTACCGATATAGTCACTTGGTTCGGCCGAAACCGAGAGCACGAGGCGGTTCGGCCGAAACCGAGAGCACCACTCTCGTACCGGTATAGTCACTTGGTTCGGCCGAAACCGAGAGCACGAGAGGTTGTGGTGCACCGAGAGCACAACTTTCGTGCAACGGTGACCACGAGAGGTGCAAAGGCCGAAAGCCCGAAACTGTGTAGGGCCGACAGTTGAGACCGAACCCTGCACGCCAGCGGTCTGGAACCCGAAAGTTCTGACTGTTATGGGGATTGAATTCATCTGTTACGGAATTAATATCCTATTAACTCCAATTTTGAATTCTGAATTCAATTCACATGTAGTGGCCTGCTGTTATAGCTGTTGGAAGTCAGCTTTAATGTCAGTTTTCATTGCCATATTAAAAGCTATTGACTCCTCCACCCCTATATAAGAGAGGCAGTGAGAAGCAGATTTTAACACACAAGAGCACAAGCACTCTATACGAAACTTAGAATTTTCAAGTCTCAAAATTCTGCTTCTACTCCTTCTCTTTCTAAGCCTACTGTGTTCTAAACCTTGTCTTGCTCGCCGGATTCTTTGTTTGAATGCTCAAACATTAAATCATAGCAAGTTTTATCATGGGGAGCTTAGGCCACAACGCTGCTAGCATCTTTGGGAGGTGTCAAATAAGGTTTTAATGAAAGAGTGATCGCTTGACTCTTGCAAAAACGTAACCCAACACCAAACACGAGCCAAAATTCTCCATCTTTCCTTCCCTTGTTTTTCAGAAAATAATAATCTTATTTTTTATTATTATTTGTTTTTTCTACCAACGGTACGGTTCCAACACGTGTTCCATAGTATAATTGTTGCTTCTTCTCTCTACCTTCTTTCTGTGGTCCTCCCTCCATTGTGGTCCTTACCATTGTGAAATTTGGTCCTACAAGAACAAAAAGTTTGGATCCATCATTGTTTTTCTGTGTCTTTAGTTGTTGGAGTGAAGAAGCTTAATTTATTTTTGACAGCGATTAAGTTTTTTCAGATCTTGAAAAATAGTATATATATATAATATATATACATTCAAACATACAAGATACGTGTCCCACGACAGTGTGGCCGTGTGCGAGCAATCTCTCAAAGTAAAGGGGCTCATTCCTCTGTGTTCAGCTGAGTTACCATGATTTACATTATTTCATATGTTCTGTCGGGCCGGGATGTGGAGCCATTGAGATTGAGAATTCAACCTTTTTGGGAAGAAATATATCATCTTGATTTTGTGAATATTGGGATATTAATTGTTTATATATATTGTACGGTTTAAATGTTATGTTTTTGTGATTATTGTCACTTTTACCTCCCTTGTGGCACTTTTACCTCCCTTGTGCACGTGTCTCACGACAGTATGGCCAGCAACCTTAAGGTTTGATCTCAAATCCTAATGTCAATAGGGAAAGAAGTCAATAGGTGCATTAATATGATCAGCGAGGTAGATGTTGGTGATCCAGATTATGTTTGCACATGTGAACTCTCCATAATTGTTTCTGTAGAAATAATTTCTGCAAATCCGAACCAAAATATTGTGTGATTGTGTCATTGAGTTGTGTATTTAATTGGGTCATAAATATTGTAAACAGGTCAATGTTCAATCATGTCATGCATGTTAAATCTTAATTATCAATTGACACATTATATTGATCAATGAAATCACACTAGTATAGATATGCAATATATATTGAAAACTATCATTCCACAGCATAATTTGCCACATTTGAACCACTCACTCATTCTTCCTGAGTTCTAACTTGCATCGTGTCTGGTTCACTTTCACATCACATAAAAAAAAAAAAATTAATTAATTTTTTTTTTTTAAAAAAAAAAGTATAAAAGACTGCAAGTTTGCCAGTTTCAAGTTTGCAACACATGGCATTTAAAAGATAAATATACTTTTTCCTCATCCCAATGCAATGCTCCATGTCAAGTTGCAATCTATCCTCTTACAGAGTTACAGGGATAAATCCAGCGTAGGGTCACAGGATATATTCTCTAGATATTCCATAA